GAGAGAGGAGGAGGAGGAAGTGGAGAAGGAGGTGACGGGCCAGGTGCAGCGAATTCAAAAGTCGATATTGAATCGAGAGGCGATACCCCAGGTACTAGCGACAACGAAAACGACGAGGGAGTAAAAGAGAACCACAACGAAAAGGACGATGGTCAATCACGACAAGACCATTCCGGCGACGACCAACCATATGATGAACGGCATCAAACATCCTCTTTCCCATCCTCCTCGTGCTCCTCTTCGTCATCATCATCATCCTCCAACGAAGAAACCAGCGATACCTCTGGCCCTCAGCACCCGCCCGACTCGTCCCCTTTCCCAGCGACAACTACACCCACTACCACGGACAAAAGAAATCCCCCATCCGTATACAAGACACTGCTGACGGAGGCGTGGCGCTTCTCCTCAACGGGCAACCGGGCGGAGAGCATGTTTCTGGCCTCGGCGTGGGCCGTGTATCTGGTGTATTTCCTCGGATATGCCATTGGGAAGTAGTTTTTGGCTGAATGAATCAAAATAAAATACAATATTGTCGTTTGCCGGTCTCTTCGTTCAGCGGCGTTCCATCCCACGCATATCTTCCATTGAGAGAGGCACGAGAGGTTTACCCAAGTACTGAGTACTGTAGGGAAATACCTACCTTCCTCCATAGGTACCTACCTGATACCTACCTAGATAGGGACTTATGTGCGTATCCGAGGTACATACTGTATGTCCATAGGTTTCGACTTTTTTTCCCTTGTGGCGACCTGCAAGTATGTATGTATGTATGTATGCCACAAGTGCCTCGCCTTGCCTCGTCTGGCCTGTTTCCCTCCATACGAGGCATTGCCTGCCCTTCTCGTTAGTTCTACCGCAGTCACTGACGAAGTGTCCAACTGGACCTGCAACGCACACAAAGAGTCACGGAGATGAACAATCAAGGATAAAAAGGTACACTGTATTTGGTACTCCTACACCACTTTCGCATTTCAGGAGTTGACACCATGCTCCCTCCCACCGCAGGACGGCAAGTAGCCACTAACAATGTCATTGTTTCAGGCTAGAAAGCACGGGGCCAACATCATCTCAGCCTCGTCCAACACATCCAAGCCACTGCCCCGTCAACCCCCGGTTTGGAGCGACCAAGTAACCACTAAGAAACAACATGTATGAAGCTCCCTCAAACCCCCAAGCCCCTTGCAGTCGACTTCCCTCCCTTCCTCACAGGTTCTCACCTCGTCCATTCCAATGGCATGACTGATACAGGCGCATTCCAACCGTAGCTTTGTCTGAGCGTCATAACTGAGCTGGGTACGTATATCTCTGTAGATCAATCTTTTGCTCCCCAAGAAGCTTCGAGGTCCAGGCATGTAGAAGTGCAAAGAGGTGATATGAATGATAGTCTGCACTCGATTCCATTAACTAGGGCCACTTTTATCCTCATCGGTTCCGTCCACTACCATGCAGGGCATATCGCTGTTGACATTAGTGGTCTGTGAACTTTTGCCGCTTTGACTTTTGTATCTTCCTCCTCCTATCGACGAATGCTCGCTTTTATCTACAAAGAAGGCGCTCCAATGATTTCAAGAACGATCGCGAAATATGACGGCAAGACCCCGTCATGGTCTAGAAGACATGATAAATCCGTGGGCGGCGGCCAGTTCGGTGGAAACAAGGACTATGGCGAGAGGGACATCATGCACTTCATGCACAAGTGATTTCGAGCATTAATTGGAGATCCGTTGGTAGAACAATAGATAGGCAACCTTGTTGTCCTTGACAAGGTACTTGGGATTTGGCGTCTGCTTCCCAGATGAGTCTTTGGGCGTCAAGGTTCCATTGACCACGGCACTCATTGTCGATTTGGTTCTGGAATGCCCATTGACTTGACTCCACGTTTTGTCCGAAGCATCATCCTCGTCAGTTGCTTGGTCAAATTGTTCGAAACGGTTGCCGCTAGCTGTGTGGCGTTCCAACGCTGCTGCAAGGACCTTCGGGTCTTCTTCGCTGCCACCCTCGGCGACCTCTTCGGCTCTGATACGACGCAGTAAGGTATCGTCCATGCGGATCCATTCGCGGCCATCTTGGCGGCGGATGTCGACAGTGTAGTGACCGCCGTTGGCGTTCTTGCCGTGATGGTAGATGACACCTGTGAGGCGGTATTTTGGTAAGCCACCGTGCGCCGTGTACTTGTTCCGCACCTGCAGAGGGAACACTTCCTTGGGGATTTCGAGTTCTAGTGGGTAGCCGACTTTTTTCCAGATCTTCTCCGCGCGTTTTGTGGTGTTGTCATAGTGGAATCGTTTCAGGTGCAGGATCAGGACTGGAGGTAGAGTTTCAATGAAGACTTGTTTTGTCGCAGTGGCTCTTACTCCTCTCGGAGTGTAAAAGTCACCCTGCATACTTTCCGGCCTCGTAAGTCCTTTCAAGGCATCAATGATGTTGTTTACCTGCGGAGAACCGATATCAAGCTGCAACGGTGAGTATGGCTCCAAAGTGACGGACAACTTATTCCCGGACACTTTCAATTCGGATCGAAGTTTCCCACCAAAGATGTTGGTCACAGGAGATTCTGCCGCAGTCATGCCCGAAGACCGAGTGACTGCAGACTTCTGCTTGTGGCCGACTTCCATCCAGCCATTCTCTGTATCAGCGTGCTCCGAGGCATTGGAAACACTGCCAACAGGCGTCGTTCGGCCGGAGCTGGAAGCCGTGGTAGATCTCATGGCGCGAGCACATTCTTCATGCAATTCTTCCAGTAAGAAGCCAAGGAATTCCTGGGCATCCTGCTGGTGGCCTCTCCTCATTTCTCGGAACCGAGGCAGATCTTTGATTGCAGCATAGACATACTCTGGAATAAAAGAGTCGCCATAGTTCTCATAATCATCTGGCTTCAAGCGCAGGCGGAGCTGATCCACAGAGTTTGCGGAGCAGATGATGGGGTACTCTCGTACAAACATGATGATTGCATCGATCAAGGGGGTGTCGCTTTTGAATGTATGTGGAGCTCTGTCAGCCAGTTTCGCTATGAAATCGTAAAATGGCAAGCAGAAAACAAGTACTTGCAACACAGAGTTCATGTAGCACATGTTTCCAGTATTGACAAGACCACGTGGTTTGAGAAAAGATATCTTAGTTGGCGCTTCAACGATAGAGTTCATTTCGTTCAGCACTTCGGATAGGGTCTCACTCTTTGCAGTTCCAGAAATAGTTGAGGCAGCCTTCGACGGTAAGGCTGTGGACTGGCCACTCCGCGCATCATTAGCCTTGAATAGGTTTGCCCAGGATTTTGGCGGGGCAGGAGGTAAAACAACAGGAGCAGCATCTTCAGAATCCGGCTTCGTCTCTGACGCTTCTGTTGGGGTGATCTGAGTTTCCTTAATGTCTACAGGTGTTTGTGCTGGTTCGGATGTCTTTGATTGTGTCGAGACGACCGAGTCACGGTGGCTTGACCGCGCTGCAGAAGGGCTAGAAGGCAGGACTGGGACAGCTGGGAGAATGGGACCAGCAGGTCGGGCTTTCGGTTGAGTTGGGGTTTGCTGAGACTTTGACAGAGGAGCATGAACGGCAGAAGAGGGGGTCGTTGGTTGGGTAGAGGCAACTTCAGATGGGGCGTCCGACGGTAAGGGAGTTGATGCTTGTGTGGTAGGTTGTTCTGCGGAAATGTCTGCAGACTCATCCTCCTCTTGACGTACCGATTCCAGCTGCTCTTGGGCGGGTTCTTCTTCAACGGGCGCCGGAGTAGTTGGTGCAGGAGGGGTTGGCTCTACCAATGGGTAGACGACTGGTTCTGAGGCAAGGAGGGAACGAGGAATCCGCCGTCTCTGCCTAGGAGCACGAGGTGGGAATGCTTCGCCGTCAACAGACAACCAAGGCACAGGGGGATAAAAAGGTTCCCTGGGAGTTTCAGCGGACGGGCTTTGGACCCGTTGAGGCGCGGGAGAAATTGCTGGGGAGATGGTATCTTTTCTTGTGTTCACCGTGCTCGAGGTACTGAGAGGAGGAGAAGGTGGTGTCTGAACCGGGTTTGAGGCAATGGATGGGGCGGTCGAGGTTGGTTGCGGCGGCACAGATGGCGGACCTTGAGGGTGTCGAGGCGCAGGCTGCACGTGCGGCTGGCTGGATACCACCAGCGGGCCGTGATGTGGATGAGGAGCTGCGAGAGGATATTGAGGAGGTGGTACAGGAAGCTGAGCATAATATGGCGGTCTGCCATGCATAGGATGCATGTGGGGTTGTTGATATCCATACCAGTTGGGTGGATAGTGCTGAGGGTATTGAGGCATCATTGGCGCCATATGCTGTTGATAGAATGGCTGGTATTGCGGATGCGGCCTCATGGGAGGTGGCATGTTCGCGTATGGCCCATCATGGCGCCTCTGAGGAGGCTGCATGGGCATGGGATGTTGCCCATAGGGATGGTGGTTTTGTTGCATCGTTCTAGAGTCGCGTTCAGGACCTTCTGCGCCAGGACATGATGTCAAACAGTGGGACGAAGCGCGTCTCTTCTCTTCTTGGTCGGTGGTCTCCTAAACCAACGATCTCTGCTGTGCCATACTTCACAGAGGGCGCAAAGACGACAGGCAGTTGGAGTGAGCGGTGATGGGATGCTGCGTTGCTGCTGCCAGGACTCATGCGCCCAGGGGAAGATGAAGGAAGGTGAGGGAAAGCGCGGTCGGTTGAAGTCGATCGAGGCGATTACTCCCGGACAGACGATGTGAGGCGCCTACGGACGGCTCACCGACAGGAGAGGAAGAAGAGTGGAGAGGAGAAGATGAAGATTGCTCCAGTGATGGTCAAGCAAATTATGGAAGAAGAGGTCCAAGTTGCAATCTTTCTGTGATGCGCAGTCACTCACAGTTCAAGTTCGGCGGATTTCGCAGTCGGCCGGTGGGCGCTAACCACGAACCACTGCTAGACCGGCTATTCGCCCCCTTCTCCAATCCTCGGTTGGCAATTAGGTAAGCCTGCTGGGCGAGTTTGGTTAGTCCTCTGTCTCGTCAGGAGTGGTGAGTGGTACTGGTGGTGCCAGCGAGAGTCATGCTCATGATCATGTCCCCCGCCATGACTTGCCATCGCCGTAGTCCTTCAACCCTGCGCTGTCGTCGATTGTTTCCACCTCATTCAACTACCACCACCCCTTCACTAGGGGTGATTGTAGTCTGTTCCAATCAACTCCGTTTGTCGGATGCCTCCTTTTGTTGTTGTGCTCTCGTTTATCTTCCTTTCTTGTCGAGGACTCTAGTCTGCTTCACTGCCGGCTTGAGGAGACAATACAGCACCAGCAGCGATGTCATCCAGCGCCACCTCCATTCCGCCCACAAGCAAACTCCCTCCGTCCTCGAATTCGTCCAGTTTCTCGCTCGCTCCTCCCGATACTTCCTTCTCCAAACGCTCGAACAGCTCAGGGAGTTCTGGTGCAGCTATTGCAACGCGTCAGATCCCGCAGGCGCGCGGGAACCAACCATTAAAGAAGCAGCACAAGCAACAAAGGAAACCTCGTCTTGTCGATGAGGATGTCCTACACGAGACTCACGCCATGAGGTCCATTAACTCACGCAAGGGTCAAACCTCCATCACCCATCTCATGAACTTCTCGCTCCCTCCCCGCCCACAGCATCACTATCAGCATCACTTCAATCATCGACACCAGAGACGTAATCCTACCTGGGGTCTTGGCTCCGGCTATCATGCTGTGGACAAAGCCCGCTATGTTCATGCAAACTACCGCTTCGTCGTCCGTCCTGACCGGGAATACCACGCACAGACAGTCGACGCAGATGTCTACGTCAGTTGGGACGCTGTCTTGCAAGTGCTGGCATCGGCCGAGACTCAAGATGCTAGCTGTCCGATCTGCCTGTCCACTCCGGTCGCTCCACGCATGGCTAAATGTGGCCACATTTTCTGTCTACCCTGCCTCATCCGCTATATGCACTCTACAGACGAATCCAACCCTGTTCCGGACAAGCGACCCAGATGGAAAAAATGCCCAATATGCGAGGATAGCATTTATATATCTGACGCGAGACCGGTCAGGTGGATTCAGGGCAACGACGCCAGCATGCTGAGAGAAGGTGGTGATGTTCTGCTCAGGCTGCTGAAGCGCGAACCCGGTTCAACACTGGCGTTGCCTAGAGACACCGCAGAGAGCAACGGCCACTCGGAGGACATCCCCTGGTTTCATGTGGCTGGGATGATGGAGTACGCTCGCTTCATGAAAGGTGGTGAAGACTATATGAAAACTCAGTATGACCAGGAGATTGCGGCTCTCGATGCCCAGGAAAGGGAGGACGAACTGATGTTTGGTGACGAGAACACATGGACCCGGAAAGCTGTCCTGGCCGTTGAAGATGCCAAACAGAAGTTGTCTGGGTTGGGAAATCCACCTGTGGCAGCACCAACTTCTCCCGCAAAGCAACCAGAGATTCCGGAGTCCTGGGAATCAGCCGACCAGGAGTCTTCCAACCTAACTTCGGCAGTCAAGTCAATGACTCTCAGTCAAGGCCTTCCTACCATGAAACCCGCATCAGGTCCATCGAGACATGCTCACGGACCCCAACGCCCATTATCCCACCCGTTCTATTTTTACCACGCATTACCAAATTTCTTCCTTTCACCCTTAGACATCCGAATTTTGAAAGCTGCTTTTGGCGACTTTTCGGCATTTCCATCGACCATCCTCCCGAGGGTAGAGCACATATCTACGGGACATATCATAGATGATGACCTGCGCAAACGTGCCAAGTACATGGCTCATTTACCATACGGGTGCGAGGTGACATTCTTGGAATGTGACTGGACCGATGTCATCAGCCCAGTCATTCTAGAGCAGTTCCAAGATGATATTACCCGGAGACGAAAGAGGAACCTGGAAAAAGAAGCAAGAGAAGAGAGAGATAGAATCCGAGCCGAAAAGGAAGAGGACGATAAGAGATGGGCTGCCGCCCGAAGACCGCGGAGACCAAGCTCTGTACCAAAGAGTTTCACTGAATCAGATTTCCAGCCATTGGTCGAGTCGGGCAATCATACAAGTTCTTCGCCAGGCGAATCTGGTCTGGCAACAACACCGCCGTGGGGTAACGCGCGGGCTCAGTCTGCGTTTGCAACATTGGCCACACCGGGCACGAGTCCTGACGCACCTCGAACGGTTTGGGGTACGGCGGCAGTCGCTCCACTCTCTCCACCCCTGCTCGCTGCGCCTGAACCTGTGAGCGCACACGCCGACGACGGCTGGTTACAGGGATGGGAGCAGGATCTCCTCGACGAGAGCGATGCCGTGGCTATGGTTGAGGCCTCCTTGAATAATGGTGGCTCACGCTCCAGTGGTGGTGCCCCGTCTTCGAAGAAAGGGAAGAAGAAGAAGATTACACTTATGTCAACGGGCAATCGACGTGGCGCTTAGCAGTAGCTTGAGATTTTCGATAAACCATTCCATGTGTTGAGAAGTGAGATGTGTCAACGACAGCAATGAGAATTGAACGAGAAGGGAGTGCGAGGCATACTGTGTGATTGTAGATATCGGCGACCGATCTTGAATTGAGCCAGGAAGCAAATTTGAGCCTTTGAGCAAATAAATACATGCTCAATGGAATCGAAATTCACGAAACACAATAAACAATATTGTCATTGCATATAATCTACCCAACTCAAGTTTGGAGAGACATGGGATGTCTGAATCCGCAGCGGGCGTATGTGTTGTCCGAGATGTATGCCCGGTGATAATACATCCGAGTATCGAGTATTGTGGTCGAAGTCTCTTGACTACCACCTAGGCACACAAGCACAGTAAGTACGAGGTCATGATACGAGATACACGGTAGATCCAAGCTGGGTCTCCTTTGGCGAAGAAGAGGAGTTCAAGTTATTTCCACTACGGGTGGTTGGTGTGATGGAGCATACAGCATACAGCATACAGCATATAGTACGGCATACGGCAAACGGCAGATCGATTCCGTCAAAAAGAGATGAATTTCCCAGTCTAGCGTCACTCGGTACATTTGATCCCCTTTCTCCATGCCATCGTTCGTTCCGTTACATTCTTGTCCTTGACCTTGTTTGATCCATAGGCTGCTATGGGTTGTCAAGGCCGGCGCGTCCGTGTCTCATTCCATGTATGCATCATCGTCGTCTTGGTCGTCGTCGCGCACATCCAGAGCAATACCGTAGTCGTGATGGATTTGCACACCACGTCCCTTCGCCCGCAGTCTACATACGCAAATACTAGTCTATGCCATCTGGGCCAGAAAATCTAGACATCGATGGCGTCCACGACGACGCCCTTGACCCAGTCGTAACCCATGACCCGGGCGACCTCTTGGGCCGTCTCGTGGCTGACAAGGGCGCTGACGAGGTACAAGCTCGCGTCGATGCCGCTGATGGTGCCGCCGCTGGTGATGACCCGCATGCCGCCCAGCTTCATGCTCTGTCGGCGCACCAGGTTCTCGTGTTTCAGGTTGCTCTCCCGCCTAGCCAGGGAGCCCTTGCGGGCGGTGCTCCCCTTGCGGTTCTTCTTGAACACGTAGGGGTTTTCGTCCAGGTTCTCGCCCAGGTCGAAGCGGGCGTTGTTCACCACGTAGCGCTCCTCCATGACGTCGGTGCGTTCGCCCATCTCGCGCGCCGCGGCGTCTTGACACTCCTTCTCCAGCTTGATGTAGAAGTCCGGGTGTGTGGTCGCCGCCAGCCCCTGCAGGAGGCCCTGGCTCGCCAAAAAGAGTGCCGCCGTGTCCACGGCCAGCACGGTCCGCTCCCTCCCGGGGTCAGAGGTCTGGGCGTCGGCGAATGCCTTGATGATTTGTGTAGGTTCGGCCTTGTCTTTAAGGACCTGCATGCACTTGTCCTTGCCGCCGGGGACGACGAGGACGTCGAATTCCTTGAGACGCTTGTGTGCTTCCTTGTAGGAGACGTGTGCAGTCAATGTGACGCCTTGGGCGGTTAGGACGTGTTCCTGCGCGGCGGCGAAGGTGACATCAAACGCTTTGCTTTCTGGATTGCTTGCATGTCAGCTTGGTCTGGTAGGTAAAAAGGCTTGTCGTGTGACGCGGGGTTTTGGGCGAAGGGGAAAAGTGTCTACATACCTGGGTCGCTGGCATTGTATTGAGCGTGAGTGAGAACTTCAAGCGGGCCGGCAAAGTCGAGCAGGTCCATGCCATCGTGCATGGTGATGAGGACCTGGATGGGCTCGTTGGTCTCGGTGTCCTGAATTGCACTCATCTTGCCGGCTGTAGATGGGTCTGTGTTTGGGGAGAGGAGGTGAAGAAGGGTATTGTGCCTGAAACAGGTGAAGAATGTAACGTGAGTGGTTGGCTTGAGTGATCAAAGGATCTTGAAAGGCTGTGTGCAGATGTTGGGGTGTGGTGGTTTGTCTGGGGCTTGGCTGCGGTGACTGATTGAAGGAAGGGGAAAGAAGGACAAAGGAGGAGAAGAGTTCGCCAACTTGGCCTTGTGCCTTGTCGGAGAAGGTGGCACGACAGCTTGGTGGCTCGGTGGCACCAGTGACTCGGTGGCGTGGCTGGTTTGTTTCTGCGGAGACCCCACGAAATTCCTGAGCAGCCGGTGGCCAAAAATCGTGGGGTACTGAGAGGCACTTGACGCACTAACTGAGGGGCACCAACCAGGCAACCAGGCCATCAGGCCACCAAAAGGCGCTGGCGAGTGAGAAGACCTCGTCGCAGTCAAGTTTCTACCACACTCTCGACACCACCTGCATCATGCCCTCGCTCTCCTGTTACCATCACAAACCCACGAAGACTATTATGCGGTCTGTCAGGATAAGGACAGCCAAGGACACAGACTCCTAAGCTTGTGAACATCTGATATCAAGCCTGTCAGAGACGTCCATATTCCTGCTCCCCGGTTCTGACTTCACCCCTTTCCCATTGCGTGCAACAAACATCAGTTATCCTTGCTCGTCTTGTATTTGCTCTTCCCTCTGAACCAGAGGCTGAGATTTTCACTTTTGATCTGCGATGTCCTTCCCAGCACAGGTAGGCCTGCACTGTGTGTCAGCTGCACTTTTATGCAGTTCGCAGATACGTGGGATATGCCATTGCCAATCGACCTGAGCAGCACTCACACTCTTTGCTTTGAACATGCCTTGGCGCCACCCAAACGCTGGATTTCTATGCAAGAAAGGCACAACATCTCGAATTAATGCTCCTTTGAGGCTCGTCTGTCGTCACTGAAGAGTCCCTGTGCATGCCAAATGCAACCCCTGTCAATTGACGGCCAGAACTTCGACAGACGCATGACGGCCCCTTTGTCGCTGAAAGGAGCGGTGAGGAGCGGCGAGGAGTTGTCGACAGGGATTGATGCGCCCGACGAACGTGTGTTCGGCAGCCTGACCTTTTTTCTTATCCAGATGTTGACCCAGAGTGTCGACTTGCAGCGAGTTGCAACCGCGACTGCTCTCAATGTTTGGCGCTGAGCCCATGTCAAGAGCGGTATCATGCAAGGTAGGGTTGGGACAATGGGCCGTCCAAGCGTCCATACCGATCTTCGATGGCTAGACTGGTTCTGTCAACCAATTCCCCCGAGCCTGCAGAGCATTATTTAAGGTCAATGATGGACTTCCCTCGTCTCTTTAGGCGGCATGTTCATTATGGTCAGATGAGCTCTAGATACTTGACTCGCGTTGAGGCTCTATCAGCCTACTTTTTACCAAACTGAAATAGCTCACTGATCCTTCAACTCCCGGAGTCTTGATCAGCATTGACTTCCATAGCAGCACGTTCAACTTCAGACCTCGACACAAATCCAGCAGACCGCCTTCCGCAACCACAAGGCGGCGTCGTCGTTATAACGAGTCCACAGCAATTGTGGAGATGGCCCGGTCTGACTTCGATCATATGGAAAGGTCCTATAGAGAGCAGCGAACAGCACTTCAGACAATGACCCTCCGATTTGGGAAGAGTCGCCAGACTGCAGATGAACTGCAGCAAGATGTCGCAGCTAGAAAGGAGAATCAAACGAGTCTCCAAAACGAGCTGGTCCGGGAAAAAGCAAAGTCCACCCAGTTACAGGCTGAGGACAGGATCAAGGCTATCTACATAGCCCAACTCGAGAGGGAGAACATAATGCTCCAACGAATAAATGCAGTCCACGTCGCTCAACAACAAAAGTTGGAAGATATGTCCGTGGGCCTGATGGAGAGGCTGATAGCCGAGTACGACCAGCTCTTGGAAGCGAATAAGGAGCTGAAGCAACAGAACGAGACCACGGCGGCCGACAAGGCCCGGCTTAAAGAGGAGAACATCAAGCTTGAAACCGATATGGCTCTGCTTAAAGAGGAGAACATCACGCTTGGAGAAAAGACCAAGACCATGGATCAGTTTAGTGAGAAGAACATCAAGCTTGTGCAGCAGAACGAGACCATGACGGCCGACAATGCCCGGCTGCAGCGACTTCAGAGCGAACAGGGGCAACATGTCAAGGAGCTGGAGCAGCGTGTCGCCACCCTGGAACTCAACCAGCAGCGCAAGAGAGATCACCTTGAAACGTGCCGAGCGAAAATCGGGGAATTGACAGGTACCTACCTGTACGAAGCCGGCGGCGCTCAGAAGGGGAATCCCTACAAGGTACGAACATGTGTACCACGATCACCACACTCGTGCATATACATTGTCACTTCCTCCCGGAAAGAGCAATATGCTAACCCTGGAACGTTGCAGGATTTGAACCAAGTTTGCCCCGTGTTTCTGAACGTCTTCGCCGAACTCGAGGCGGGCTTGTTCCGTTGTCTGACGGTCTCCGACGACGACGACTCGAATTCCAGTTCCAGAAAGCAAGCCGCGGATGCCTTGGCCAGGGTTTTCAACTCTGATGCGGCCTTTGGTGACTACCTGGGGGAGGAAGCTCGAGTCAAAATGAAGGAAGAGCTCACGAACATCTTCAGCGACGGGCTCGAGCTCTTTGGACGGGGGGGGCATATTCTAAAGTGTTTGGACAATCACCTGGCTTGTGTATCCAAGTATAGATGGAGAAAACTTGGTGAGGAGCGAAGTTGGAGGCAGCTAGTTGGATTTGTATTTCTTCTTTTTCTACTACTACTACTACTACTACTACTACTACTACTACTACTACTACTACTACTACTACTACTACTACTACTACTACTACTACAT